AGCACAAAAAAAACCATATTTGGTTACAGCTATATGTATAGTCGTCCATACACTGCCACCTAGTTATTCTTACTGGGGTTACGAACTTCTCGTTAGCTATCTCCTAATATCGACGGTTATAGCGGCTCAATTTAATGTTCTGCAAACCATAAGCCATAAAGCAAAGGCCGCTGAACAAGTCGCCACACGTCAACTGCTAGATATCAACGTTATATCTGTGAAAGGTGCCCGTCGCAGTCGCAGCCGTAAGTGACGTTAGCGCCGCAGTACAAAAACCACCCGAGTGACATATGGCAGAAGCAACAGCAGGACAGGGCTGAAGGAATCCTACTGTAGTGGGACAAGCCGTCGCGCATTATTCTCCATCGTCTAGCAGCATCGAATGCTGTTTCGCTATAACAGCAGTTTTGTGAACAATAAACAATACAAATATAGCCATTTCCCATGGGAGCTAACCCGTTTCGCCGTTACTGAATCAGCAAGCGTGCGCGATTCGGCTCGTTACCCAACAGTTGCCGAGGATTTACTGCAGGTAGGAAGCAGTACCAAGTGCAGTACCACTGTATCGGTATACATATTCGAGTTAACCAAACATTGCACAATGTTTACATTCTGGTATACAAGATATGTTAATTGTTACGAGGATAATAACAATGGCATGCTGGTTGAGTAAGTGGTACTTTAGCATGGTGCGTACGCACGAGCCAGGTAGTTTACTAGTTAAATCCAATAGTTTAATTCTCACCACAATGTTCACCTGTAATTTATATCATATAAAAAAAAAAGTTGATGTAAACAGGTTTAGCACAGTCTAGTTTATTTCTCGCAATTATTATTTATTTTGTTAAAATTATTAAAAAAACGCAAACGGTACAATTCCATTTAGAGCTCAACACAGTTTCCCTGAAAAATGTTCTTATTTAATAAATGACGTCCCACAGTCAAGCTCTCCGAAGCTTAATTCGGATTTAAAGAGCTCCATAAAACATGATTTCTTTCCCTAGATCTGTTAGTTGTTAGATGCAACTTTTCCTTATGTCCGCGATGTTGCAATTGTGGCTGTTTTCCTGATCCAGCGTAAATATATTTTTCCAATATTAAAAACTTTATTATTATCATTATTACTAGTATCGCAGATTTTCTAGTTGCATTGTAGTGGCATGGTATCGGTAAAGAATTTTGATTTAAACATTGTGAGCCAATTATCATATGCCGACAATATATACCTTTCAACGTTTTAGTGCTAACACATGTGGCCCTTGATATGTGCTCACGTCGATGAGACAAGCGGCGAGTAGGTCTGTGAAATATCGGGTATGATGCATTACACCTTCGTGAGGTCTGGATCGGATATATATCCTTCTCTACCCTACAGACATAACCTGTTAGCTTATTTTCGGCTACTCCGTAATCACACAAAGTTCTAGTGCTAGCCGAAGTTATATCATTGCCAATTTGCTTTCGTGTGTTCAAATAAGCAGATGGCTTAATTCAGAGAAAACCGGATTGAGCGAATCTCTTCAACCGTTTGTTGACTGGCTTAAGAGCCTCGGGTTTTTATTGTTACCAATGAACTCTGTTATTACGTTTCGTTGGCAATTTATGTGCTCAAGAACTGTCAGTGATTGTTCAACTTATTTGTGTTACACTAGCGCCAAAACGGCGGAAGTTGCAGCCGTATAAGTATTTCATATATAGGTACGGCATGTTTATCTGTAACCAACCATTCCTCTCGTGCACTTCAGCGGCCTCAGCGATTTCGCTGTCAGTAAAAAATCGTAGGAGAGCACATGTCAGAACACTACGCAACCAACCAACCAATCAATAGAACGAAACGAGTAGCTGGCGCGTTCCTCTTTCGGGTGCAATTGACTCTCAAAATAATAAACGTTCAGAAAGGATCGTCATGTTGTCGCCGGCTACGAATCGTTACCTAACTAGTATTTTTGGTAGACGTAACATGTTTCCGTGTCGTCTGAATTCACCGCTGTTTCTTTCGTTAATTTTGCGTAAACTGCAAAAGATGTCGGCGATTGCTTTATCGCTGCTCGTCCTGTACTGAAGAGGAGTCCAATCCTACAAAGGCCCTCACCTGTTTCGATCAATGAAGTAGAAAAAAAAAAAACATTAAGCCGAGGGGTATAGACGTACCTAAAAGTCGAATTTTCGACGGTTAAATTTTTGAAAACTTACGATTTTAACCCCTGTTAGTGGTTTGTCGGAAGCCACCGTCTAGGCAGCTGCCAGACGCATAACTTAAATGATCTATTTAGATAATGATAAAACACATTAGGGACAAGACCTGGAAAGAGCCGCATGCTGATACCCATAAGAATGAGGAAATTTATTACAGTATGATAGCACTTATAGTAATGTGCAATAAATGAAGACACTTCGCGCTACCAACAGGTAGTACACGCATTATGAAACAATAACTAAAAAAAAATTCGAATTAATGAATTGATAACACCATATTGCTGGATTTTTTTTACATGGGTAACTGACTCGAGTCTGTAGTTGAATTGAATCTACAAAATGATTGACGCTTGGTCACGAATCACGCCATACACTAAAGTGTTTTATAAAAAAAAAATCTCGTTTCGGAAGACACTGTTTGTGGATGGACGGCAGTAAAGGTACAAATGTATGTTTACCAGCCAAAATATCCTTTTCTCAGATGTTAAACTGCCTTTTTCCTACGTTGGGCCGCGACGCAAGTTCTAACAAACACTTGTGCGCGTCAAATATTCATTGCTAACGGCTTTCTGCACACATGTCAGCGCTTTATGCAATTATGGTACTTAGAACGAAAGTTTCGACACCTTAAACGACGAGATATCGGAAACGCCACACGGTTGAATTTTACTTGCAACTGAGCACAGAAACCTATGAACTACAAACGGTTTTGCACACTTCACACACACACACACACACGGCACATAGATATACGAATCATTCGATAAACTTCGACTTATATGTGTAAATCGATTATCGCGAGCATGTAGTGTATTGTTACTTGAAATGTGGAATCAATCCACCGGACTCCTGCAAGCCATCGCGGCAGCTACGTTTGGTTGAGTTGATTCGGTCGTGGCACTTGATAACTATTTTTCATAAAATAAGATATTAGTATTTATACATCAAGCAGAGAAGCTGTTGAAACTTTTGGTTAAGCGGGGAAGTCTCTGAACAAGATGTTGCGTTACTAAGGTCCTGTAGTGTTGTAAAAACTTATGCTTGGGAAAAAATTGCCGCCAATTTGAGTTTGAATTGCAGAATTTCAGAGCCAACATCGTAGTAAATGTTCGATAATGATCCAATGCCCCACACAGACCTCTTTGACGCCTTGTGGGTTCGTGAGCACCAATAGGAGAAAATGGAATCGAAAATTTTAAAAATGTCTTTGAAAGAGAAAAGCATTGCCAGCCTTGTCATGTCGGACGATGCAAGCGTTAATAGCATTGCGTCAGGACCAAACTCAGGCAAAAATGACCTAAATCCGAAACCGAGTGTATATAAAATTTGATAATTCTTTTTTCTTAAAACGTGTGTAGAGTCCAATTGGCTGTGTCGTACTTCCCCAGGCAGAGGCGTTTCAATAGAAAATTAAGTCCTTCTTTGTATTTTCTAGTACCTGGTATAATTGGGAAGCCCGTGTTCTCATCGACAGCAAGGTGACTAATGAGGTGTCTATGGCAGTTTATAATACTTCACTTCGTCGATACCAGTCCTGTATATGTTGCGCGGTGTAGGCATTTGCAATTTACCCGAAGTTCAAAAAACCGGTAGTACAAGCTCAGCAGCGCGCACATTTACCCGGCGTTTATACGCAATACAAAAGAAAATAATTTTATTAGAGGAAAGAGTAATTTCATTTTAATTTTATATTAAATAAGAAAAGCCACGAGCCAATAGCATTCCAGCGAGCGATAATTCTTCCTTTTAGAAAATCGAGCGCGCTGTACTTCACTGTGATCCAATCGGTTCAATGGAGTGAGATGTCAAGCACAAATGAAAAAATTCAGACCATCTTGAATAGAGAAGTCTCTGGCATACACATCTGTGCACAAATGGCGCATAATGTCCTTGCATCATTTGAATCCGCAAAAGAACTATGATAGTATTAACTATTTTTAATTTAATAACTTTGATTACGAATAAATAGAGGTGTCACACTTATTATTAGTGTTGCTATTCCTTCTCATTATTTGATTATAATAAATTAGAATTTGTATAACTCGACTTGTTTATTAAAAGTCACAATAATGAACGCATCTTTATTGCAGACGAATGATTTTTTTTGGTCTATAAAAGTCACTCTCAGACATGCAATTTTTGTCAACTTCGGTTCTGCCCTATAACACACAGCTTTCTTTCGTAAACAGGCTACAATATATTCACAAAAAAATTACCAAAACATTATGACAAATCATAGACGAGATTTGACGAAAGGTAATCTGACAAAAGGTTACCGGCTTTTCTGAAATTGAAAACAAGATACACTGCTTTGCTCTAACTTGGACTGGCGAATCCCAAGTTCTAATTTGTACCAAATATTGTGCTGTTAAATAACCACTCTTTCGTTGTAAAATAGCTCATAAATAATACGTTCTTATAAAGAATTCTCCGTGATATTAGAAATCCATACATTATCATAATGAGCTGTTTTATGGAATCTATAATAATCAGCGTTTTCCGATGTAAAAAAGACCTTTACCTTTGGGAACTTAACGCCAATTTTTTTACAGATCACAGCATCTTGTTGATTAATGTTCTCGCTGTAAAATCAGTCACGATGCTCGTCTAGCAGTTTAAATGCCTGTTTTTGAGCTTCCCGGCAGTTATAAAATGCTAACTCATAGACACACCTGGATGAGCCGTCGCTGTCTCTTGCCTCATTCAAGAAACACTGTTGACCGATTGGGAAAGAAAAAATAGGAAAGAGCGCTTTCAATACTGAATGATACGATCTGTACAGACGCTGACTCCATGACGCTCGTTGCTCACATAGCGGACCCGTTTTGCCAGCCTTCTTATTCACATACTAAGCCACCCTTGACAAACAGTGTATTCACGCGTAAACTCCTGCTTTTTCGATAGAAATTACCAGCTACCCGTAACAATCAACTACTCTAACTCGTAATATTAGTTCAAAGTACTGCTAAATCGCAACGTTGTCTTCTGCAAAAGCAAGTGAGTTATTCCTTTCACATCTATATAGTAATCGGTAGCGCGTACGCTGAAAGAATATACGAACTTTTTTCCTACGCAGTTTTTTTTTTTAACAATACGCTCGCATCAAGACGAGGTTTTTCCAGACAGTCTTCACTTCATTATACTCCCTCTTTGTTGTATTCATTAGCTGAAAGATGTAGAGCAAATTTTTGCTATGCAGTCAGCCAAATGTACACTAAAATTTATTCATTAGAATTCGCAGAAGATTTATACCGAGTGTGTAGGACAGGCGAAAGGTTGATAATGGCGTACGCGTCAGCCTATTGTGAATGAAAAAAGCAATAAAAAATTTCATTTAGAGGTCGTCTAATCGGATAGGATTTTCGTTCATGTTTGAAAGCACTGTTAAATAAATAATTATTGACACAGATTGACAACTAAGGACGTTGACCGTTAGCTTTCACTAGCACCAGCCACGTGTATTATTTTGTTTAGAATAGAATATTATTGGTAATATGTGTTTGGTATCGACCACGCACTGGCCTTTAACACTTTCAAGGGCTTTTTGATGGGTATGTTATAACGATAGCACTTATTATAGTTCCTAGTGCAGTAGCAAAATTACTGAATATTCGTACATATAGTCCGGGCCTTAGTTACATATAGCCGAGTACAGTAGAGCATACGAAGCGGTGCTCCGAAATGGCGTCTTCGATCGATACCCACTATCGATAAAAATTGCTTATAAACAAAACAGGTGATCAATAACTGAGTTGCACGTTGTACATGATCTGTTCAAGTCTTCGTTTGTCAGATCATAAACTCGATATTTTATATTCGAAGTTACAGGATTTGAAAGACCGCGACGTTGCGATAGCGACTACAGAACTCTCAAAGCATAGTTATGGACCCATATGCTAAGTTAAGGTTAATGGGCAAAGTTGCCATTGTAACCGGTAAGAAAAACCAAACTTGGAAGTTGACCTGCCACTCATCTTTGTATATTCTACTAATATCCTGAGTATTGAGTTTATGCGGTATCCTTTGATGTCGAAGCAAACGTCAGTTCCCCTGTTTACTCAAACTGTGAATCACCTTTCACAGTTTTTCTATAAATAAAAATAATACAAACAATAATAATCGTGCCATTTAAATTTAATTTTGAATTAAAAACTCGGATCGATTAACAATTAGATTTTGATTTACTGTCACAAGTTCGGAATTTCAGTGCCGATTAAATTGACCCTTATACTCCCCATAGTCTTTATGCCTTACAGCTTTTATGGTTAAGTTCGAAATGTCTCCTATATATTATTTAATTTTATGAAAAGATAGATAGATGCAAATGTACAACCCTAAGAGGCATACCGATCTACCATCCTCTAACCCGGAACACCAAATTTATTGTTTCCAATAGGATCAACCGCTGGAATAGGCAAAGCAACGGCGTTGTTGTTGGCTTCTCGTGGAGCAAAGCTGACGATACATGGTCGGCGGCAGAACAGACTCGATGAGTTGGTGGCAGAAATTGAAAATACCTCAGGACATAAGGTAAAAAAGTCATTTATGAATATAGTAGTGATATGATATTCGTTGACTCAACTGTGCAAAGCGATGAATCCACTGATATACTGTAGGAATCTAATAAAAGATGGTAAATAACATTACCAAACAAAAAGCTTCTTAGGGGTGTGTTTAAACAGTTGTTACATGAAATTTAGATTTGGGCAGAAGTAGCTGCCTTAACTATTTCAACGTATCATCGTACGGAGACGGCCTGCTTTCCAAGGACGTGTACAGATTACCTGAGCAAGTACGCTCATAAAAGCTCTTCTAAAACTAAGTTTTTATATTTCAGAATAAAATGCATAATATTCAGTATTAAATGTGACATGGGGGGATGTTCTAAAGTACATTCTTAGCATTCTTCATACGATTCAGCCTTTCAGTGTCATCGGTAACATCGAGCACGAAAGCGTTAGGCAGCAGCTGGTTTCTGGCACTGTGGCTAAATTCGGACAGATTGATATCCTAATAAACAATGCTGGATGGGCAAAAATCGGTAATTTAGAGGAAATTGGCTCGGCCGCAGTACGAACGATGCTGGAGGTGCATGTTTTAGCTCCGTTTGAGCTGTGCAAGAAAGCCCTACCGTCGCTTAGTGCCAGTAAAGGCAATATTGTAATGGTGTCTTCTACCCTAGGATTGCGCGGTAGGGCGGATTTCCTCGCCTATACGATAGCAAAGGCTGCTATGGACAACATGATGCGAAGTCTTTCGGCCGATCTCGGTCCAAAAGGAGTTCGCATCAACAGTGTTAAGTAAGTGTTGACATTTTGTTCACAGAAGTAGATTTAAACACTTCACAATGGCACGCGCGTATGGCTCTCCGATAGAAGATTAAAAATTTACCTACTTCGACCCAGTTCGACACAATATAGATTAATTTGTCTGGTGGTATTTGCTTTACAGTCCAGGAGGTACAATCACTGAGATTTTGAGAACCGATGAAGGGCAAGCATTTATAAAAAAGGTAAATATAGCGTTTGTTACCATTTTCTTTTTTTTTCTAAATTTGCTTACTTTTTAACAACTAAAAATTTATCATGATATTTTTCATTAGCGGTTTCGGTCGTCCTTAATTCGATGAACATATATTATTAGAAAGAAGAAAACGAACTTAAGCACAAGTTAGAGTGGGAGTTCCATCAGAATGACTCAATTTTTTTGTAAGGTAAACAGATGTAGATGCATTTCATGACGTCTTTCTAGGAGAATAGCTTCATTCAAGTGCCCTCTGAGGCTCTTACATGGACTTATGGCATATGTATATTAAAATTCAGCCCAGCTAACTTGCAAAATAACCTCAAAGTTAAAAATAAAACTTATTCAAATAAAAAAAAAAATGGCCACTATAGCCGCAGAACTGGTTATTTGTTTGGTCAGCTTTGTTGTTATTATTATGTCATATATGCTAGCAAGTAACCGTTATCACAAAAGCTTCAGTCAGCTTACTGGGCCTCTCAGTTAAAATCCTTTTCAATTAAACTGGACAAATATACAACATAACAAGGTTCCATTTATTTCTTCAATCTTACGTTGCACACTGGTACCTACTTTCTTTTCTGCGACGACAGGTGATCTCGAAAGCTGTCCAGGAACCACCCAACCCACTCGGGCGCTCGGCAGAGGCGTCAGAAATAGCGGAAGTTATCGCTTTCTTAGTTTCTGACGCTGCCTCGATGATTAACGGATCGACTTACGTTGTCGATGGAGGCAAAATCGCCAGCCTAAATTAAAACGATAGACGGCTGTGGCAAATGTGATTATCGATATATATGTGTGGTTATTCTAATAGTACTATTTTGATTGCTTAATATATTGTTTGACAAAAACTTGACAAAAATGGCATCTGAAATACTAGCCAGAATACACAAAAGGTTCAACCTAACTATCAAAAAGTCGCTTATATGTGGTTATTATAAGATCCGCTAGGCCAACTTCGTGTTATGCTTTTGACCGCTACATAATAACTTGATAATTACCCCATAACTTACTAGTTTTGACAATATTATGAATAATGTTTCTTTTCTTCTTCTTCCAGTTAAGTGTTAGTTAGTGTTTCGATACAGACGTCGTTACCAAATAATCTATAATTAGCTTTCTTCTTCTAAGTTGTGAATTGTAGCACTGGAAGTTCTTGCATTTTGCAAAATATAGCAATTTACCTTGCTAGTTTCTCGAACCCTTGTCAAACTTCTAATTTGTTCGATTTTAGTTTAAGCTCGATAAAAATTATTCGAAATTATCAAATGGTCTTGCAGGTCTTTCGCCATTTTGTACAGAGGATGGCAGCTGTTCTGTAAATCCGAAAACAAATCGCAGCGACGTATTACATAGCACCTAACGAGGATAGCCACTAAAATTAAAAACCACTTTTGCTTAACAGTGAGATTTAACAACTACTTGTAACGGAAAATCCTCTGAAGGACTCAATTCCGATAATTGCAATATCAAAAAAATAATCGCCGTGAATATTGTGATTTAATAGGGCGAATACGCTTAGCTAAAGGAATATCCGCCTAAACAAAAAATTACATACATAGATTTCTTGGGGATTAAAAAAAATTGGGAGCTATCTACCGGTTATTGGAAAAGCCTTTACATATATCAGTAAATTTCACTTGATTTTGAAATATACCTTATCTGTTTTTTGGGAGGTTCAGTTTGTTGAAGGACCCGTAACAAGCGAACCGGTTTTGTTACGGACAGAATTTCAAATACATATTTTCGGCTGGAATTTGGAACAAGGTTTTTGAAACTTTGCCAATGGAACATTTGCTTTTGGGAATGATGCAGCAGTAACTTGGCCGCTCCGCAAGTAACAGACCGATATGCTCAGAAGTAAACATCGACATTCTTTTCGAGTATCATTTATGAAATTTGATAAACATCCTCATAAAAAATTAAGTTTCAAACACGTTTTTATTTTGAGTTAATATTTCCAGCTGATGTTAGCTTGACAACAAAGGTATAATCTCATCCGCAATAGTTGTAACTTCAGATACAAACGGTGTTCGGTCTCTAATTATTAGATCTTTATCAGCATTCTGACAGCTCCGAACATAGTTGGCTCGATGTCGTCTGTGTCGAGAAATAGACATGCGACGAGTGCACTAAACTGTCCAAACTATACCGGCATTACGTCAAAACAGGTGAGGATGACCAACTTTTACAAACCGTTGTTCTAACATTCGTAAGTTTACAGTACGTGGAAGCTTTTCTTCAATTTGTCGCGCCTTCATTTATTTTTAGATATTCGGGTTATTAGTCTTCTATTAGCCGAAAATTTAATTCCCCTAGGAGTTTTTTTTACGTGTTGCGTGTTGTTGCAATAAATACTTTTTCAAAAAGCCTATTGAGCGATATATTTGTAATGGATACGAGAACACCCTACTTTAAGAGCTTCTATTGATTTTAAGGGTCTTTTAATTTTTTTCAATTTTATTTTTTCAAGCCCGTCTTTTTCATCCCCGTGGTGACGAATACCACCGAAGTAGTACTTTTAGTATTCGCGTTCGGGAACCTTTTCTTGTAGGCTCAGTAATTATAGTGCAGCTTTGACGTGTCGGAATATGCAAATGGATAAATAATACAGACCCCTGTTCACCTCAAACGCTACAAATGAACGTGTTTTATTCTGCGTATAGGGTTACAGTTTAAGTACCCCATGTTAATATTGTAAGGAGTCAAGGAATGTTGGCAAAATTAGACTTTCTATTGTAACGATTCATCGATTAACGGTTGCCGGGTTCGAACAACGTCATGCTCACAGTTATGTAGCATTTCCAGCAAGGTAAGTTAGCATGCATCTCGGAATAAGATTACGTCCAATCTACCTTTTTGTGGCCACGAACCCAACGTCATGATATATGTCTAGATGCGCGTTGCTCTATAACGTTAGATATACAAGCCATCGATTTAGCAATAGGACTCGTTATTTATGATATTGTTTGCATTTACATACACGATCCACATACAAAAAAATAATAGCTAAATAATTTTTGCTAATAGTGCTCGGCTTAGGAAGCAAGAATATTGATTCTAAATGAAAGATGGTTCATCGCCTGTTATCATGTTTCAAACAGCTTTATTGACCCTGGCGTTTTTAATATTCGTCTGAATATACGCATTAAATTCGACACTGATCTCAGGCGAGAAGCAGTTTTTCAGTCACCGACCTGGAATAACAACCGGATCATTCATGCGACCGACGCATAATGCCCATTGCTTAAATCCAGTGATCTGTTCGAATTAATTGGAAATACATACTAAACTATAAGAGAAACAAGCATCTATAATACAACAGTAATTTCAACCCCCCACAAGCAGTGAGAATTTTTGCCTTTTGCTATTACATAGTAAAAAAAACGTCCAGAAGGGCCAATTAGAAATTAGTACACGCCCCCCTCCAATCTCGAATGCGTCGGCAATTATAAACGAAGTGACTTTACTCATTTATTCACGAAATTATTTGTGAGATTTTTTTTATCTGCTTCAAGTTGCCACACATTCTGAAAATCGAATTAAAGAAGCTAGTGGCAAAATAGGTGCTTTTAAAGCAAAAGGAAAGTCTCGATTCAGTGAAGATAGCATCAGAATTCCATCTTCTCTTAAGAATACAGTTTATTGATTTTTTGGCTCTTGCTTTGCACTTATTATCTTATTATTTACCCCAATCCTCCTTTATAATCCTGTAACATTCTAGTAAACAAATGGAGCATCTTTTTCCTTAGCTTTCATGTATGATATTTCTAGCAAACAAAGCGTATCCATAGTCTTTCTTTTTTATTTTACCCTCAGTTTAGTAGGTGAATACACGGTTTATCACCGAACCACCACGAGAACCGGTCGTTCTAAACTAACAGTTTTTTACAAAAATATTCCATCAATCTAGAAGGCCCTTTGCGGTTCTCTTTCAACTTTTGGGGAGAGAAAGACACCAACTATTATTTGTAAGTTTTTGCTTAACTAAAGATATATATTAAGCTGTGTGCCAAAGTAACTGATATTCAGCATTTATATAAACATATTGGTTCTATTATTGAATAAAATAATCATCTGTGTATTGGTAAGATTACATACATGTCAAGCAGAAAACACAATCAGAGCAAACTGTTTCACGTAAAAAGAAGTTGTTCATTTAAGGATTTTTTCTCCCAACCAGTACTCGGCTTAAAGGGCTCGATTGCTATCTCCAATCAACAAACTATCATTTATTCACTTTTACTAGTAGTTGTCACATAAATCATATACAGAGGTGGATAACAGAAAATCCCAAGAATAAAGTGAATATAAGGAACCGGTAAAGCGTGTGGCACGATATGGACTCTACGAGCCTTGTTGAGTTTATGAAACTAATTTAAGGGATTTGTTGACTGTCCTAAAGGTTATACTAGGAGGCAACGAGCGGCCTGGTATAACCTTGCTGGAGCACATACATGTATTGTTAGGCTCGTGCGAACCAGGTTTTCTGCAAGGTTTACGGTGGAACCCATGCATGGCAGAAGGGGTGATGACATGTCTGTTTAACCGGTTTGTTTCACTTGTTGTTCCTTATCGTCTCAAAGTAAAGAAGTCCCCATCGACCTCTGTCCCCAGTTTCTAAAGTTAGTTTTAAAGGCTGCCGTTGCTGGGAGCTCAAGGAGATATGCAAGCGTGTTCTAGGTCATCCTCATGCTCTTTTAAAGAAGGAAGCTTTGACGCGATCTAATTATGCGAAGTTCTTTACGGTGAGATCTTCTCAGATGGTGCGTATCCTATACGCGATGCTACCTATAGATCAAATAAGGAAACAGCGCTTATGAGGGACAAATGATTAGGCGGTTTGACTGCCCATGCGGCCGTCCCTGCGTTTACGCATCTTTCGGCGATGTGCATGATGAAGCTTCTGCTCTTTGTAGAGAAGAGCAACTACAAGTACTAAAATTAATAAGCGTAAGCAACATTAGACCTGGCGAGCTACAAAACATTAGTGGCCGATGTATTTCTCTTCGTCCTAAACTTTATCATTTCTTTCTTAGTCAAGTTTACGGTCAGTCCTAGATCTGTTACTGCCGCGTGTGGACGGGCTAGAGTTGGTTGTACTTGTAACCCGTTCGACCCTCATATCACTAAATCGTCTGCATGCAAGACAACTTCGACTGATTTTTTCGGCCCTCTTATCTAATAAGGAAGGCCCTTCAGCCAAAAATGAAGAATAAAAATGAGTCTAGGTGATCTCTTTGGGCCAAGCCAGTTGTCTGTGTGAAGGGTGGGAGTATGCTACTCTGTGGTTGCAGCAAAAAGGCTGAGCGCAATTACGGAAATATTCATTTCGGCCAGCATAAGCAAAGCCTGGTTCTTAAATATCGAGGAGCAGTCTTGCCTAAAGTCGACGAACACTGCGTATATTGGACCGCTCAAGGAATTCTGAAAGCTGGTTCTGCAGAGAATTTTGTGCGAAACTCATGTTGCTTAGCTGAAATTGCTTTTCGCTTTCCGTTATTCAACATATCTTAGACTAAACGTGTTTTCCCAATCAACAGCCTAGGGTGGTAATAATTATCTAGAAAGTCTCTAATGTTCTACTGGAACTTGATAGAACAAGAGACCGTAATAGACACGCAAGTCTTCTTACAAATTATTCGAGCCAAAAATATGTTAATAAAAAGCTGGGTTACGTTTGGTTAGTTACTGGCGCACTAAGATAATGATTTAGTAACACCAGTTCCTATATAACTTGAGTAAATGAGCTAGGTTTCAATCAATATATGATTATCTTTACCTCTAATTATCTTTACTTGGTCAAGCCAGATAGATCCGCTTATTTTAACAGCTTTAGAATTTAAACAAAGCTCGTGAATGCAATAACCGTACAATAACCCAGAATGGGTTATTATACGGATTCTTGCGAAGACAGTAGACCAGTTCATAAAAACGTTAAATCGCTATTTCTCGTCAGTTTAACACTCTTTCCTTATAAAATCTAGCTTAATTTTGACAAGCTTAATTTAGACAAATCAGAAAACATTTTGATGGTTCTGTAACTAATAGCAGTTGTAGTTGATTTTTTCTCAAGTGAAAATCAAGAGCGATAAATGTGGGGGCTGATTTCGGAGGCGTAGCAAATACTCGTTTGAGCCAATTGTTCATTCTTCATTGCTTAGTCCCATATGAGTTTTCCGTTGTGTGCGCCAACACTACATCATCCTTGGTACATTTCGTAGCTAGCCCAAGCAATTAAGTTGGCGATTCAGATAAGTTTCTCACGCGGTTGGTTTCACCGAATGTTGTAGAATATTGCCATTAGTTATTCAGGGAGTAGGAAAATCCTTTGGTCTGTTTGAAACGTGCTCCAAATAGGCTCTATATTAGATTTAATTCTACATAAACATTTTTACAAATGCTGAGAACTTGAAAGCCGCGAAATATTCTAAATATACCTAGTTAGCTTGCGTAGGATAAAGTAATCAGATAAAGTAGTTACCAGAACAGTAAGGTGACAGAACGAAGTCGAAAGTTCCCGATTCTCTGCTCGTTTGTTGGATTGCTAGGTAACTATGAGTTTTCTTTGTAATAGTTGATTCGTTGATACGTTAGATATTCTTAAAAAGTTCAAATGCAGTTTGTATGCTCAATGAAATGCACTTCCGTCTAATACCAATTATTCCAGGACGATGCACATTCAGTTGAATTGCTTTGTGTGGAAAAGCAGATTGTTTGACAGAATCCATCAATCTCGAAGTTTCCAAAGCCAGTTACCTAAACAAACGGGCGTTGTTTGATACAGTGAGGCATTTATTTGTCCCCACCGCACATAGTACATTATCATATTCCATAGTACGCCCTGTGGTTTTATCTATTCTATAATATACCCGTCAAACTCCATGAACTTTCGTCTCTTGGACCATCATTAAGTATATAAGTACTTTTATACCATGACAGCTGCGTCAACTTGGCCGTGTTTGGCTAAAAATTTCGAAAGTCAAGCCTTATAATGGATTAGCTATTAGTTCGTGTTATTATAGAAAGTGTTTGTTTTTTAAAAAATATGTATTGTGCATTTTCGTAGATCTTAGCTGACATTATTATAGAGTCACCTCTATTTAGATCGAGTGGGTATATACAAACGTCTCTCCTCCGTCCAGGGATTTAATGGGTTTTTGCTCTTAAAATCAGTCGTAGGCATGCTTTACTAAAGTTAATAAACGCTGTGTAAATATACTATACTGGTCTTTCACAATTGCCTAATAATGAAAGACTTGCAGCCCCATGTTTCTTTTTAACATACACAATTTAAGTTACACAGTTGATGTGTACCCTGACACCTAAATAAAATGCTTTGAGGCTTAGCCTGGAATTGCTCGCAATATGCTATACATAACCCTAAGAAATTTCATTACAACGTCTCTTGTGCTTTTACTGTTTTTTAAATTAAGTGAAATTATGCTTTATTGGAAAAAGGGAGGTAGATTATTAATGCATTAACAACACCTCAGAGGTATAAACAAAATTCTTATTGGCCAAAAGAACGCTTTGCTACTCTTAGATAGCATCCAATATCAGACACGTTATATATGTCCGATATATTATCACTACTTTGAGTATTTGATTCATGCCAACGCGATCGTTTCACGTAACTCATTTGCCTAGATACAATTCCACCTGATCCAACAAATACAAATATGGACAAAATATAAAAGGTTGCAGACGATGCACGTAATCTAACGTTGTGTGTCTCGTATTTCCGATAAATGATAATCTCTACACCGGCGCCCGAGCTAAACAACTATAAATACAAGATAGTTCTAAATTTCATTATTAATTGAACAGAAACTGTTCCATTGACTGGTACAAATACCAAGTCTTTCAGCGAAAAACTTACGCAATTGTTAAGCATTGATTCTTATACCTTTTAGTTACCCGTTTGTTTTAATAACTGCAAGTGTTTTTTCAAATGCCCTGCACTGGCCACAAGAGAAAAAGTAAGACGGTGTATCTCACATGAGTCTAGTATAAGTGACACTGCCAGTAACTTGAATATACCTTTATTATTGCTCGCACTGTGGGTGAAATGGTCATCTTTATGCGAGGTCGGTACCGGAAATAAATAGAAAACGTTCTATGACTTTTTGATGAGTACACGATCTTCTTGCTGACCAATTCTTGCTACGCACTCCGAAATATCCACACTCAACACCCCGAGTAAAAAAAAAGCGATTATATGCGGTTATTTGTTTGTACCCACTTCTCTGAAAAAGAAAATAGAACTTACTCAGGTTGCGCACAAAAATCGTCAACACAATGCTCCCACTTTCAATCCACGTTTCTGTCGTTCTGTTGACATAACATTTATATATTAAGGATCCTTACTATCTTGCTACCATCTTGCTCATTGTTTTATCTAATGGATATACCTTTAACCTTTGAACATCTTTTTAGGTTTCGTCTTGACTCTGGCTGATTCAGTAGTTTTGACGGTTGTTGCTTCAATGAAAGCCCAACGTACCAGTCAATTTTCAATTACTAGACAACATAACGGCCTGATGACTTGCTACATATATTCAACGTATCCATACATAAAGTGCAGATATACTTCGATCAGTTGTTACGTTATTATTAATTCAAGTTGGGCGTTTATGACGTTTTTCGACGTACAATAATATGGCAAGCACTAGTAAATCAGCAATCGTCTAGTGCACGGCCATTTTGACATGGATTGAGTGACACTCAACGATCTGTCAATTTTACAGCTTTTGCCTGTAAACAGCTTGTGCAGAGCAAAAAGAGTAGACTACATCCGCACCAATCCAATTTGTCCTAGCTGTCGCCAGCAATACAATAGTTCTGCCGACTTGTACACTTGATGTCGCAAAGATACATTCCTACGCGCTAGGCGCAATTAGATTTCCTTTCCAGGTGGAATAGTCGAGCTAAATCGACTGTGACAGGAATCAGCGGAGGTTAAACGTTAGGTAGGTTAAGGTTTAGAGTCTGTTCGACTATCAAACAAAAGATAAAAGATTTATGAGTCTCTTTGATACCTTTTTCTTATCGGCAGGAACGTCATTGCGCACTATCTGTTATGCGGTATATCTACTTTCCAGAGGAGCAATCGCGTTGAAAAAAGCACACCTCGCAAAGTGTAACAGTACAACAAAACAGGCTAAAACAGATATGTATGAGAATAAAAAGAAGAAATATTAATTTCTATATACGATATATGAGTAAAGTACTGTGGGAAAAGAGTATAACAAATGCTACATGTTCAGTATGCACACAAAATAGGTACTAAATATTATAAAGGGGTAGGTCATTCGCATCTTTATTATTCTCTATCAAAGTATGGCTTTCTTGTTACACTTACATATGATACATATCACGTAGATACCTTGGCATATTTCTCGAGGAGAAGATGTTATTTACATTGATAGGTGTAGCTTCCAGTATACTTCTTCCTTTATTTTAAGAAAAGTTATCACGAAATGAAGGAGAAACAAGTTAGTTTTCAGTGCGTAGCTTTTGCGGAGCATTTTTGTTCTCACCCGAAGTTGGAAATAGGGTTGAAGTCTGCTAACAACGCGGTCAGTAACTTAGTGTTCTACGGATTGGTCACTATAGTAGCCAGGTGAAGTTCACACATCGTATGTACCCAGACTCATTTCCTTCCAGCTAAATCCGTGAATAAGGTAAAGGGAGCTCTGGAGTTTAGCAGATCAAGTACGACACCTTAAATCACCGACGTAAAGCGACGGCAGATGTTTTGCATGTAAAGGTTCAGTACTGAACAATATGTAGTCTTATCCAGACACTACATATTAATGTTTCATTGATATTCTACTCCAATGTAATGGCCAAAACAGTTTTTGCTTTTTAGTTAAAATTATCATGTACTATGTCTCAATACAGCAAAACTCGATGAGCTAGGTATTCTTACATAAGGAGTTCGTGCTTCATACAGGCTCTTGTGGCTTGCTATGGTTTCTCTCACCCGGATAAAGTGAGCTCAATGTGTGAATAAGTGCGGTATTTTGTAAATAGAAAGAACGAGGAGCGACACTATCCGGCTAGCTAGGAAACTGTCTCACCATTTTAACGTGGTTTGTATTCTACCCAGAATAAGGACAGCGTTCGTTTTTGTTTTTATGGGCAATACTAGTCATATTAGATAACACTTCTTTCCTAAGATGAATAAATTATACATGTCACATATGTACATAATCTGTTAGATTTCAGTGCAATTACAATGCCCGTATTAAGCTCGGGCTTCTGAACATGTCTTGGAAATGAAATTAAAGCAATGTAAGATGAGAACCGGACTGATATGGAGTGTAGGCAGCTACATCCAGGTAGCTCCACTCCGTTCTACATATTCATTAATAATACGAGTAAATTACAACAATTTAGCAGTTAGCAGCTAGTTATTGATATCAAATTGCTGGTATTATAGTATCATTTTAGTATCATTAGGACTTGCCCGGTCCTGAACCAGTAAGAAGCCACTGGCCAGCAAAGTTGCATTAACAATTATCAGCTTTGGTCGTATACTACGTAGAATGTGCGGAAATTCAATTGATAGCCTGAATGAGTTTCAACATATAACTAACGAAATGCTGGATTTAGTAAGATAGTATGTTTATTAGTCCAGCTCAGCCACACAACTTGTGCTATACATACAAGTAATTTCATCCTTACCATTTAAAAAAAATCCTAAACCATTCGCCGTTTTCGTAGGGTAGACATGCACTGTCCGAAAAATCTGTAATCAATTTTTGCAATATATGTCAAATGCATAAAGTTAAATACAAAACAATAGTTTACTTTTATTGAAAATTTCGAGAACAGGGCCAATTGGGCACATGTCACTTTGCCTAATAATAACTAATATGCCTTTACCAATTTTGCAAACTCAATCTAGGGAGAAAGACATTCACTTCAGCCATGTTGTCAGTGAATAATGTCAACTAACTTCTCTCGAGCAGAAACGCCTATTTGGTGCCAATTCACGATTGTTCCCAATTTAGATGAAGCGAACGCCTTTATCCTGTTGACCAAGTACGTGATATCGATTAATACATCAGACCTTGCTGCAAATAGCGAAGGTATGTTTAGCTGACGCTGGCCTTAACGTTTTGTACAAAAGATGAGCCTTGAAGTTGATGTTACTTTATCTGAAGGGGAAGGTCTCGTTTTAATCTGCTAGAACCCGCTTATGCAGCTCTTTAGTGAGACGATGCTTTTGACATATCTGCATAGAGTGACTACATGAAATTGATGACAAAAAGTAAACCGGATATGGCGAGTCAAAAAGGCTGCGCTAGACGATTGATATTTGCTAATGATTTCCCTTTGAATTTACTTGCGCCCTATTGAAATTTCTAATCGTTTGTTACTTAAATTCTGGCTTTTCATTCATACATCGATTCTATATCGAGACTATAGAACAGTGATTTTTATTTCAATAAAAAAAGAGATAAGGGAATCATTTTTGTTTAATGGATCACAAATTGCAATCAGCGATACATTGTGCTTATTTACTTTGCGGGTATGCGACACTTGCCAAAGATGAGAACACGATCGCATATGTCGCCGATTCACATCAATCGGGTTAAATATTCGAAAGCTGCTTAAACATCACTAACAAAATCATGTTTATTTTAAATATAAACACGTACGCAAATCTATAATATTGCATTGTGGAGGAATCGGCACGTTTATTGTTTCTACCTTGTATAGCTGACTGATCTAATAAAATCGTTTCAAACAAATTTAATTTAATTAGTATGGGAGTAAAATTTAAGTATGGGAGACTAAACTTACTAAGAAATACCAACCAGACTAACAGTTACACTTACGTTTTATGCTACTAACGTAGCAATATATACTTTATTTCACAATTGAGACAGCTGGTAGCTTATCCATCGATACAGAGTAAGAACGAAAATTATCAAGCCAAACGAAGCAATGAGTGCATACGGTTTCTACATTTCTTTCTCCTCCCTAATTAGATAAGAACCCAAAGTTCACAGATGCTCAAAGCTAATCACCGTTGTCTCCCGTTGTTAGTCATACTATTGCTTGCCGCCTTGGAACAATCGTTTTGTATTAGTGACACTTACAAAGCCCCAAAAACGTCCAGTGGCTTACCCTCGTTACCATAGGAGCAACACGTATGATTCTCAAGTTTACTGTCTCATTAACTAAAGTCGCCATACATCGACTACGCTGGTTTTTCTACCCTCACTTTCCTTGGACATGTATACACGATATATGAAACAAAAACAAGCTCTCAATATATATATATATATATATATATCTTATCACCATCCTAAATCCGTCATTCGACCATAATAATATACAGTTAGTTTCTTAAATGTTGTCCCCCTTGCAAAAGGACATTTGTCCAAACCCTCCAATATCTCGACTAATATGGCAACTTATTGTGTTTTTCACTGTATCTATCAGCTACTACGTTAGCCATGAGATGAGCAGACGACGTCGTCTACATGTACTAATGTCTCAATTTTAGCAGCTGCCAACCTTGGCTACACTTCTTACTCCCTCTGATGGCTAAACCTCGTTTAATACATACGTATAGAAATGAGGTTTTTCACGTAAGGTCAGTTGCATGTGAACAAAAAAAAATAACAAATTGCAATGTGACTCCTCTGTTCACAGTATGGATGCCATTTTAACACCGATTTTCCCATTGATCATCTCTGTCTTCTTCTTCATAACTGACCCATCATCCAGTAACTCCCACAGCCTGCCAATCCTCCAGTAATCTCCACGAATTGCCAATCTTTCATTACCTTCCATAGTTTGCCAATCTATACTTCCTAGTCTTTTTTGACGGAGTTACCCGCTTTCAATCGCACTAAATTATAGCAGAAAGTGCATTGCTTCATCTTCTTAAATGTATCAAGATACTCGCGACTGAGTCTTTGTTGGCTTAGTCCTTTTGGGCGAAAGATCTTATAGAGACGTCTTCTTCTTAGTAGAAGTGCTGACACTTACACATACATAGTCCTACATGACGATGACTATTTCTTAATCTCTTCACTGAAGCTTGCTTGTTTTGTCTTAACTCGAGTCACCGTTTATCCCCGCCTTCTATAAATGCTCATTCTCATTGACTGAGCAGCAAGAGCTTCATCAAAACTTATCAACTAGTCGATTGACGCGTTCCTTTCGCATTTAGTGAAGCTTTGATGCGTGATTGACCGAGGTTCATATTGTAGTTGTTACGACAACATGCATGCTGCTACCGTAGTTTTTGTTCCAGAACATTGTTTTGGCCATAGCTTGTTATTAATGATAAAGTAGGCGGAACCACATCAACTTTTTAATACGACTACTGAGTATATTTAATAGATTGGTCGAATCAGCCGAACCTCCCTCCGGGATGCTTTGCGAGAAAAAGGAATACGGGTGTGTCTGAACACGAGTCGTAGACACGTGTGACTCATCTAGACTTCGTCCTCATTGAGAAGCATGTTGGGTATGCCGTTTGTAATGGGGAACTTTCTTTTCGTTTCGGGACACACGAGTTCGCCTTCCACAACCTCCACTTCGAGCAGTGCATGATGAATAGCTTGCAGGACCGTTGTGTTTGTTTCGCCTTCCGTTGGTGCTGTGGCAGGAAGGTCGGCTCCAACGCCCAGCTAGGAGACGGAAACGAATATTTTTATAAACAATGAGATGCGGCTAAATAACTGTTTCTGACAGAACAACATCTAAAATGCGTACGAAAATTGATGCTAAACAATTAGCAAAAGTCTTAAATAATGTAGCCTGTTTATATAAAAAAAAAAAAAAAAAAAAAAAGTATCAATACATTCGATTAAAACAAGGTAAATTACATGAGTTTTTCGTCGGCCATTTAATGTCCTAGGGTACAATTCCTGTTATCGTTCGAGTCACGGCAAACTCAAATATGCCCAGAGCGAGCCAGAACAAAACTATGACAAACGTATTTCACACGATTTTAACTTGTTCACCACAATAAAGCTTCCTAATTTTCTGTTGTGCTAACTACGACAGTTATTAGGCCGTTTTCAGTACATAAACCGATCGCCAAATGACTCATGTTAAGCAAAACTGCTCTACAGTGTGTAATGCGTGTTGCATTATAGGCTCACTCAGTACAGCTTACTGGGTTAACTTAGAGCTATAATGAGTATTTATATAACTATTTACAGCTGCCCTTCGACAACTAAGAACTACCTCTTGACGAGATCCAACCTTCAACACATGACTGCAGAATTGAAGGAAGTATTATTCGCTGAATGTTGGCATTATATATATATATATGTGCAGAAGTACAATGCATAGTGTATACGAAAAAAGATTAAATTTAAGGTGCCGTTTTTAATGAGATGGCATATTTTTATTGAGCTAGTTGATTAATTAAAGTTTAAAACATTGTTACCTCGCGACCTTTGAATGCACGTAAATAAAATTATGAATATATTAAAATGGGTAGTGTCCATATAGACAAGAGAAAATCCCAATGTGAAGATTGAATTTTTACTAAAATAGTTATTACCAACCTTATTAGCTGCCTGAACGAACGCAGGCCAGTCGAGGCGCGGAATCATACGCTGGAGAAATTCCTCACTGAAGTCCGCTTCCGCGACTTCCGTTTTCACGACCTACACAAACAGCCAAATGATCGGTTCATGAATATATTTAAAACGCTACGCGTTTGTTGTTGTTGTCATTATTTTTGACAAAAGAAAGTCCGAGACAGTAATCATGAGCTCATTAGTTAGCACTGTACATACTACCATACAATTCTCATAATAAGAATAATTCCAGTAGAGCTAATTTACAGGCGTATATATTGCGTATATAGGCGTATATAAATGAAACTATTGCTCTTTACTGACTATCTGATGCCATAATCGAAAAAAAAGAAGGCCAGCCACATTTAATATACAATACCTATTTGTGTTCATTCTACTTTTCTTCTATTATTCAACATATAAACAGGGTTATTTCGAGCATTTTATCAAACTTATTGAACTAACAACGACTGGCTATTTACCGAGTGCAACACGTGTTAATAGCCCCTTTATTCCAATCTAGCTACAAAACAGTTATCATTTTTCTGGTCGTCAAGCCTCTTTTGATTACAACAAATGATGGCACGTGCATCTTACGCTTTTACGTTTCATCTAATCTAAACTAAGCATTGTAGAACTTGATAGTTGTCGAACGAGTCGCACATAGCAGAATCTTATATTTAATTCACCTCTCATTTATAACGTGATAGCTCCATCTCAGCGTGGTGATTGACACACAAATTTCCCGTACTTACCACGATGTCTAGCGGAAAGCCAACTTTTACAGCCTTCATGGCTTTTGATGTAAGCATATTGTGGGTCAGTAATTTCATATTGATCTTGGTGTGTCCGTAGCGTCACGGTACTAGTAATACTTCTCAGTATTTGATTGATTTTTTGCTAAACCACACAAAACGCGCCTATTTTCGCAGCAATGTTTTCACAAACACGGAGTGTATGTGAAATACGTGTTCACTTCGCTTTGTATAGAAGCCGGCGGAAGAAGCGAAGACTTTACATAGAAACTTCGTCACGACATTTTGCAAGAAACGCTGACAATAGGAGGGGTAGAATGCTGTACAAACCTGAGGAACCGTACACATTTTTGTATATTTGTAGCAGTATTTATATGATGAAATAAGAGCTTGTGCATTAATTTGATTGACTACTGAATATCGTTATACAAATATATATATTTAAAAAATAAAAAAAGCAACGAATACCTCTATTGTAGGCCGCTATAATTAGCCATTTGCTATAGAGGCTGGAACATTTATCCGCATATTTTTTTTTTTATACAAACAATTTCTACCATAGCTGCGCTGCGACCTTAAGGTATGACCAGCAACATGGACTTCCTTATGATAACAACAAATTCATTTCAACGTCACAACCCACTGAGAGTAATATCGATCTTTCCGGGATTGAACACCTTCTCTAACCTTGTTAATTAATGAAAGATATTAAACATTTCGCTTGTTTAGCATAGAATTGAAAGCTTGTAGCTAGCATAAACATTTGCTAGTTAACTAAAGCTAGAATACATATAAACTTTAATATGGTGAATTAAAAAAAGGTTCATATAACGAATGCTCGTTTACTTTATGGAAACTGCACTCGCAACATTATTACTGTTTACGGAAGGCGGTTTGTTTACAACGGTTAACAAGTACTACACTATAGTAAGATTATAAACACGTCTGCTTTCTTTTATAAAGGACGTGGGATCGTGAATCCTGATCGCACACGACATGATTTCCCCGATATTTCCCAACAATGCATCCTGTTTGATCACAATAGCGACAATGATTATTATAGTATCTGAAAAAACTATTTGTTCTTTGTTATAAAGGTTATTAGGCAGGAGATGCGTTTTTTTAGTTTTAGATTTGATTGACTTTCGTTCTCCATACGAAGCTTTCAAACAAAGATGACGTTCTTATGATCAGTAACAACAGTCAAATCTGTTCCAATGTCTAAAGAGGATGAAAAACAATCACAAATAAAGGCGAGACTGTTGGGAATTTCTAATAGGAAACAATAGGGGGAAATTGAGAGAGAGGACAAGGATGTTAGCCGAGTAGATCTGCCAGCCGTATGCATAATACCAGGAATAGCACAAGAATTAATGGCTGTAAAAATAATCAATTTGCCGAATTTTTTTCCAATTTGTTACACATATATATATATATATATATACACACACACGACCAAGGACTGCTACTTTACGTCCCTCCAATAACAATACTTGTGTGAATAAACAGTGCACGTATACAGGTTACGAACGTAGGAAAATAGGTATATTTGCTAGATGCGAGTACTTTTGTGTGATGCCAACGCTCTTTTTAACCCAGGCTTGAACTCCTACCTTAGCCAAGGCTCGAATCTAACAAAATGGTCGATATTAGACATGGTGCGTTACAAAACATGCCTGAAGTCAATCATTACGATTGATAAATACATTTCAATCATCTAATAAATATAATTGATTTTAATTTGAAACATCTTCAATCAATTATACATCAGACACAACGCACAGGGCTTCGAAATGAACCTAAGCCATAATTATTCATCTAATCTTACGACTGTGTATTTATTGAAAACATGATCAGATTATGGCATGCTAACAATATTCGGATGGACCTATTGTAAATCGTAAACGAATTAGATAAACCACTATTGAGAAATAGCCCTGAAGGAAGAATTCTGTTTTTCTTTTACTGGATGGAAGCAGGTATTTGCAAGCACGATTTCTGGATATACTGAGTTTGCCTAAAATCAAATCCAACGTGGTGCGGTACGATGTTATGTTTGGTAAATAGAAAGTAATAAAAGAAAAATAGAAAGCTGCTCATCCGTTACCTGGACGTAATGAATAAACTTAAACATGTTTGACCCTCATAATTATTATATGTATAATAATCGTTGCTAATGGGAATTCGAGAAGGGCAGTGTACAAGAGTGGACATTCTAGTAACATATACGATTGTAGAGATGAGGTAAGTCTTACCATCTCCCAGGCTTTTACCTTGTAGCTTTGCCTCACAGCGGTCCACAAGTACACAAACGCATAGCCTATTTAATGAAATGTCAAATTCGAAATTTCAGCACCTGACATTTCTGAACGCATTGCTTTACCTATTTCTTTATTCACCAGCTAATGGCGGACTTAATTAGAGAATAAACCATTTTTCCTACACTAGAACTTCCTTTCAACTCTGTACCAGGTAGAGTCTACTCTACAACGTGACATAACGTTTATTAATTATACATACCATTTTTGCATATGGTCCTAACACTTTGTGCTGTGACCGAGCGGTCAGTTGAATAGGCGCGTTATCTAAAAACGCTTAATCTTGACCTAGTAGGCTCATGCTACTTGGCAATGCTGAAATTGAGTTTCCTGGCATTTTCGTTCTACAAGCTAGATTGCCTTGATCGGCTCATCATATTAGTAAAGGATCAATGGCATTTCAAGCGACATCTAAGCCGAGGTACCGTCGGCAAAAGTGTTTATCTAACAATAAGCAGAGACTGCTGACCCCGTAACGGTAGCAAGAATATTTTCAAATATTAGGAGAGATACGTGATGAAGGCTGATCAATAGAATGATAATCGTCCATTAGGCGAATGCTTAATGCATCATGTATAGCCCTGACAGAGTCCATGAGCCGGTGATAAACGAGTCGATCAAATATATATACATGCACCGTAAAGAACGTAGACAGAAGAACAATTGTGACGGCTTACATGTGTAATCCGATGGATTCGACGCAGGAAGGTGATTTTTATCCGTTAACGAGTGCTTACTAATAACTCCTGGATCAGCATTAACGCTTCTATACATTCCCAGCATTGGTAGCAATGAAGACAAAACTAAGAGCAAGTCAAATGTGTTTGAAGATAAATTTTCTTGGACAGGTGTAGTCGAAATAAAATCGGATATGTTGCTTAAAGTAGCTGCGAAACACCGACAAGCAAATAAAATCGTTATAGAACAGTACATAATTGATTGAAGTTAGGCCTAGTACGAGAAGAATAGCTGTTCTCGCTTTGGTGTATTTTTTGAGCTAGGAACCAATAGTATTTTAAGTTCCTAGCTCAAAAAATGCTATGAGGTTATAAGAAAGCTGTATCCATTAAGTGCAGCTTCGACAGTGGCGCTACGAATCTCATTATGGAATTGTATAATACACACACACACACACAAAGAACCGTACAACGGAGCAACTCTCATAAAAAAAAAAAAGTGTTTAACGGTCTTCGATCATTGAACTAACTAAGCGATATACATTGTTGCTAGGGCATAGAGATATTGACTAATACATCCTTCTCTTTTGCTGCTTATGAATAACAGTCATGGCTGAGCATAGACAGATTGGCGAATGAGTTCTAGGGAATTCTACTGCTAGAATTTCTACACTACTAAATGGTTAGTCATATTTGTTTACTATTTTAGAACTGTCCATTTTTAAATTTATAAGGCAAAATAGTCCAAGCAATTGCCGCATTTCGATACTACACCTAGTGAAAAAATGAAGATTTTCTTTGATCTAGCCCTATAATTTCTCCATAACTAGTGTTTTTTTTTTGTCACTGAAAATCCATTCGGTATATAAAGCTAATGTTTTGTGGCTCTGTTATATTACCGGAGTAGCGATATTACAGCATGAAACGTGAAAGCTGATTAAAAACATTCTGGCAGATGTTGGCGAAAAGTTTGTTATTTTAAGCTACACGATGCAATGGGACTACTAGATTTCTAACTTATTTGAACGGCGGTCTATGTGTTCGAACGTCAAAGCTGACGCATCTTGTCCGAAACGACACCGTCTTTCTACCGTAAGATAGCATGTGGCCCCCATAAGCTAATGTGTTATCGATAAATAAACACTATATAACACAAATGTTAAAACATGTAACGACGGTTTAAAAACGTTATCGAGCCCGAAGCAAATTCATGGACAGCTGTCCATACATTGTTCGTGGACAGGGAGGAAAGTTTCTGTATTACTAGATCAAAGTAGTATCTTTCAATTAACATAGAAGGCACTGCAATTCCTTTGCTTATTTTTATTGGCAACGTTCTCTAATACATTGAATATTAAAGTTTTAGATCTAAGGCATAAAATGACGTGAGACCACAGTCGCCAAAACTGATGAGTAGGTACCTCTGAGTGTAATATCCAGCTGCCTGGTGATTTCGGCATGGATGTGTTTCACGAAATCGTCTAGTCTTGATTTGTTCAAGTCAAGTCTGCCCTGCGTGACGAATGTATTCATGGTCAGAGGCTTCACGGTGACACGATCCAGAACGGCTTGTCTGCCACGGGCTCCTTGAACCTCGATCAGGGCATATGAATCTGCTCCCAATGATGTTGATGTGGTGATCGAATGCATGGCTCCAAATATCCAGTCACCCTTAACAATGCCGTTCAACGACACGCCGATCGGCCGCAGAGAAATGTAGCATCCCAATTTCATGCCTAGTCCAAAGGTACCATAGGAGCAGTCACCCCTACGGCCAAGCATCGCGAGACCCGTCAATGTGCCTTGACTGAAAATGGCCTTCAGATCACGATTTCCAATTCCGTTGCTTTTTACCTTGATGTCGAATGGTAGAACATAAAAAGGATCCAGGGCATTCTGAGACACCTGGAAGCGCATCTCATTGAGGACCTGGTCGATGAACAAGTTCGCTGTGAAGTTGGCCGAGGCGGTAGTCGCCAAGGCAACGACACAAAGGGCGACGCAGGACAGCATTATCACTACTTACCGGAGCACTGTCGATTTGACTGTGCTTTCACTGTTGACGGTTAAATTACGTGAGCAGAATAACCACTAGACAGATGCCAGTCATGCGCTCTCCATATATATCCCTTTTCATAGACCAAAAGGATAATTAACGATAAGCAAGATTATAGACAAGACTTACGCATGGAGATGACAATGATAAATCCATAAATATTTGACACAGTGACTTATTCCAGATGTCATAAAGCCTAGGTCGTAAATAATCTTAGATGACATGATCATGTTGTCAGTTACTGAACGAGCGGAAGTATATAACCGGGTTCATGTAAAAGCTTATCATGCATCCGACACGTATTGCTGACGTAGATGGTCGAATGAATGATTCTACAAATTTGTGGACTTTAGGTGGTTAAGCGAAGGAAATATGAGCGTTTTCCGTGGCTACCGTACGGACTAGTATCTGTTTAAAACCTAAATCCACTCGATTTTTTATGCCTAGCTTCTTTGAGTGAGTTTTCGATGAGTCACGTATTAACATCGCTCTATTTGCGCTTACTATACATCAATTTAAATAAAAGTATCTTTTCCTTGAACAACCACGATCGCGAGGAATATATTTGTAGACACACGTAGAAAAAATCGTCTAATTATCTACTTTCATCCGTATAAGGTATACAAACGGACGATATCAATTTAACACTTCGAATCAACTCTGATATGAAAACAGGTTGCGAAGATATACTTTTGTGCGGTAAAATAGATCAAATATGCTTGATGCATCGGCGTGCAGGTTCAAAGTCCTAAAAGAGAACTTCATATCTGCTATCTGCGTCATCCTCACATTTGCCATTTTATTTCCTAATTCCAGGAATCTTTGCACAGACATCAAGCTCCAACTAGCCAATATTTAGACCCGCCACGCACCAATTTCAATGTTGTAAAATCGCACTGCACAGTATGTCGTCATTAGATTTACTTGATGCGCCCGTATAGCCCCGTTGTATCGCTTATCATTTTTAGTCGTATCTTCGTGATACATGACAGTACTATTTAGACTATATCGTTACTATTAAATACGTTGCGCAAACAAAAGAACGTTTGACAGCTACCATGGTTGCTGCTTCTTACGGTTCTCATAGGGGACATCGGGACGCTATCAATATATTGCATGTCGAGCAGTTTGTCTATCCCTTTAGACTGATATTACACTGAAAGATTGTGCTTCGTTTATGCCGAGGCTGCGGTATCAAGTATGTTTTTGGAAACCACCTAAAATGTTTAGGGTGCTTTTGCATCCGCTTTACTATCGAGGTGTCATGTTTGATTCCCCGTCCAAACAGAACTTCACTGATGATGGTCTACGTCAGTTAGTTAGATAGATACAAGCCATTGCTTCTTCAGATTTCCTTTATTCGGAAAATTCCGACTTTAATCTGCTTTTGTTACGGCCGGCTTACTCTAGTTCCAAAGCAGTATTTCAAGCACAACGCATACCGTACAACATATGACTGTGCTGCAGTCAGTAACATAAGTGGGTTAATGAGGAAGCTACGACACGGCAAGTATCGTATGCTGCGTTTGGTTAATTTAAGAAAATAAAAATAAGAACATTAGGAAGATAACCAAGTATTACAAAGTATTCGCTAAACATCTTCGTTGCTTATTAGGCAGTTCAAGGCAGAAATATGATATACGACAGTACAATTTAATAGAAAAATTTCAATGAAAATTAAAACACCAGTCTTAAACGCAAATGAATAATTAAGCCTTTCTAGTAGTCTTTTCGTGCTCACATCGAACTATATCTGATCACTTTCCCTTTCCTTCTCCCCCGCATAACGTAGATTCGACGGGGTTGTCTACTATGTAGTACAAGCGTCTAATATACTCCGCGATGAAAACCCATTGTTTATTGACTACGGATTGTGTGCGACCAGACACATCTGTACGACCTAATACAGTTAATTCAGACGATACCGATTTCAGGCTTATAGATATCGATATTAACAACTAATAGTAACCGTGTCGTCGAAGATTCGGTAATAGAGAATGGTGGCTAGCCATCATTCTGTATGCCCGCGTGACGCCCTTTCGCTTCTTCGCGGCACACAGTGCGGCGGTAGTAGTAGACACACGCATGACATACACTGACTCACTGGAACTAACAGTATCGTCCTTTCGTCCATTGCTCTGAAATATAACGAGCGCGTCGGCTCCGGCGTTCGCTTTAGCCACAATCAGCTTCATGAACTCGACGCACGCTGAGGGAAGACAACAACAACAACCCGGAAGTGGGAGAGAGAAAAGGTCTAACCATTTGCGGCAAATGAACCTTATGTCCTTTTGAACATTGTCAGAACTTTTTTGAGCAACACACACTAGCTATCAAAAACTCCTCTCCCACGACCAAGGCCCGGTTTCCTTATGATTGCAAAAAGAAAGAAATAACGAGCAACTCGAATCAAGCGCTTTACGCTTCGACATCGTTCGGTGTATTTGTCCCCCGTTAGTCCGACTGGGATTTGTATGCGGTGTACGGTTAGCGCACAACTCCAGCTTCGGCGGTGTCTCCTGTTGCAGAACACTGTATTATACCATCAGCGCGTGTGTGGGATACCCTTCATCCGACGTCGCTAAGAATGGCTGCCAAGCAAACGAGAACTGACTTGTACATGCAGAGCGCCAAACTAGTGGACAACTGTGTCGACTCTATCGGCCTGTGTCTAGTTTGACTTCAGAACTAAAACTCTTCCGCGTCTTCAGACAACAAAAGCGGCAACGGTGTCGACGCTTGTAGTGGCACAGTAAAAAAAGAGCTGGCTGACGCGGCCTGACTCCCGATCGGTGAGGCAAGGCAACGACGAGTCGTGCGAGATAACCTCCTAAGGATCATCATCGTCAAGCTCGAGCGAAAGCGAGAGAGAGAGAGAGAGAGAGAGAGAGAGAGAGAGAAAGAGTACTCATTTGAACTCCCTAACTGTCCTACGGCAACATCAGCATTAACAAAAACGGCTATTAGTCAACATATTAATACTCAAACACTAAAGACCATTACTCCAGTGCTAGAGTCTTGGTCATTGAAACTTAATTTCGACATAACCGTCCTAAAAGCAACAGAGACGTAAAGTAGATCGGGCGGAACAGCTCATCGCTACATGCTCAGCATGTGGATAGCAGCAGGCGATTGGTTTGTGCGTGCGTGTATACATCCTGTAAAAGTCGACTCGAATATAAGCCTAACTTGTTTAAAACAGTCATCTATCTGCACGACAGGATTCGGTTGGGGGCTTTCTCGACTACGAGAACCGGACGCCTACACGCTGCTGTCTTTTAGCGATTTGGCAAAGTAACCCGGAAGTCGCGGCGTGGGGTTTAGGGCGTGTGACGTAATAGAGCTGTGTCCGAGAGTGTCGAGGCTGATAAAGGGAACACTGTAATGTAAAGTTGAAGCCGCGTGCTCAAGCACAATTTTGTGTGTGGGAAAGCTAAACCTGTTGTGACAGTGTGCGCTTTTGCATGAAGGCCTGTGACCTGTTCTCTGAGCACCTTCGTACATTGCCTGCCGAAGATCGTTAAGAAGGCCCGAGCAGCAATGAGTCTGTATCAGTCTCGATATACAGGGTGGGTACTTGAACACGCTTTGCTTTTGTATCAAAATACCGTCGGTAGTGTGTTTTATATTGTCAGTCATGCTGTATTGTCAAAATTGTTAGAAGTATCCGTTTCCCTAACCACCGGCCACTACTAATTTATACTCAGTTGTTACTTAACGACATACATTTAATGCAATGACGATGCACAAGTATAAACAAGGGTTGTGGGAAGTGCAACTGATTTATCGGTCAAGCATGCGGTAATTATACGCATGAGATCAAACTGCCTCATCGCTTGCCCCTAGTAACTGTCCTTAAATTGCTTGATTTTCAAAGTAGCTCTGATTGCAACACATGGAATACACATTTTCTCAGATTATTTTTAAGTAGATGACTTCGAGCAGTCAAGTCACATCTGAGCCTCGTTAGTCAAAACAGCATTGGAACAACACATAGTGATGTGAAATTGCCTCGCGTTTCTTCTAATCGACTTGCTTTGCTGTGCGAAGACATACGTCATCGCTTTTAATTCCCAGCACCGGAAACCTCCGAGGCAAACCTTAGAAAGTGGGAGCGAAAATTCGCGAAAAAAATTGATAGGGATTTCTTTACTTCAGGTGCAATCAGGAATAAAAAATAGAAAAGGACGAGCCGTCTTAGCATGTCGTCACACGCTTTGCCGAGGGTGAGTTTCATCATAGATTGTGCAGGAAGGCGGGTCTCGACGAGCCTGACAATACAAACGACTGTGCTCCAAATGCGAGAGATGTCGTAATAGATACCATGCCACTCGATAGTCTCTAGTACTATGTTGGGAATATCTGGCAAATCTCCTAAGGTCGTTGTATAGAACTCAGCAAGACTCGTATCACCCATATGACGTAAACTCTTTTGAAATGCTTCTGTATACCTTCTCTTTCTTTGTTGTGATATTGTGTTTTTGATGTGTTTTGCATGAAGCTTTTAATAACTATCAACAACGAAGAATAAAGAAATTGATTATGACAATTGTTCTTATATGCGTTAAATACACAAGGAATATATTTAACCTTAACATACGTTATTAAGAAATGTCCTACAAATTTAGACTGGTTGTATACGACAAGAGCGGTTATTCAGCGGCCGCCTAAGGCTTACGGCACGTTCATTTGCGTGACCAACGCACGTGCTAGGTAAACTATACAATGCTCCAATCAGGCCCAAATTTAGTTCTTATTGTCGATAGTATAGGACAATATGTGACAGTGTAGTGGTAAAGCGTTTACCTATTAAATTTCAGAGGTGGTATAGGCGCAAAATGGGCCTTAAGCAGACATCGTTCTGTGCTTGGAGCCAGCCGTGTGAGGCATAGGAAAAACTCGAAATATTGTTTAATTAACCTAGTATGCGTACGGCGAAATAAGATACTTATTAGCAATGGCTTCATAGGCAATATTTTTAATATAATTACAAGTGATTGTCTATAAATAAAAGATAATATATAACGAGTGTGCGTAGCATAAGAAAAAAAGACTCGTTTAAGATTTATGGTTATGAAATTGACGTTCATTGTTGCTGTAATAAAAATCAAGAAGTACCGGTTTAATTGTCTTACAGCGACTGTCTCATATAGTTACGAAGCATAAACTCATAAGCTGAAAGGAAAAGTTCCTAGTTTTTGCATAAATCTGTAATCTTAGCTATGATGCGAAAGGTATCTTAGGTAAACTTACGTAAGCAAGTTTAAATGAATAAAACACAACCAAAAACTAGATAGTAATTGCACTGTTTTTTTTCTGTACATTTTCATGCGACTGAAAAATCATCCCTGCAAAATTCAATACCTCGTCTATTTATCGCAGAGCCATTAAAGTCGGTGATTTTCTACTTCCAACTTTAAATCGCCAATGGACATTCTAGTTAGTCGGGCCAACGTTTTGCCCGCTTAATATGGTTCATTGCAGTAACTAACATAGGTGGGTATCCAAATCGGCGACTAAGAGGCTAATTAATAGAAGAGGGGGTGGAGCATCCCCTCAACTTTTCCGCTAGTTATGGACGAAACGCATTAATGTTTCGAGATTCGTCGATTGGACTCCGAGCGCTCGACTGCGCCTATAACAGTTCATTGCAGCAGATACAAAGAGCATATTTTCGAATTTAGAGTAGCGACAGTTATCCAAGCTACTTGGCAGTAAAAATAAACAATATTTCTATCAGGACTGTATCTGAATGCTTCTGATAAACACTTAAAAACTTATTAAAATAGAAATATTTTAATTGTGCCAAACATTCTGCGTTATTGTACTTACATTTTATATATATTGTATTTATTTAAATTGAGATGAAAGTGCTGTAATGTGACAACGGAGTAATTCTGTTCCCATAGACGGTAGATGACCGGTTTCTTTTTACGCCATTGATGCCGACAAATATGTCGGCGATAAATCACGCTGGTTCATAGTTTTCGCTCAGTCGATATTCACACAACTTTTACATCTGTGAACCTATAACTGTAAATAGGTTTTCTCAATGTTAGAACAGTTACCCGAAATTCGTCGAGGTAGAACAATTCGTGCCACATATATGATGCCCAGCAAGCCTTTAGTCTCACAACCGAGTAGGTATCTGCAGGACATTAGTGCAGGGATAATTACATCAATTAGCGATACAGGATAATGTTGATCATATTACGGTGCATAACCTTTTTGACAAAACAATGCTTTTTTTTTTAAAATAAGTTATTCATTCTTCCAAAGTATATTGAAGACTCTTAAGCGCTATTAACTTAGTTCAATATTGTAGTTGTTTTTTTTTAATTAATTCAAGTTCAGCTGGACGTGACACGAATTTCTCGGCAGATGTCGAATAATCTGAAGCCATTTATTCGGTAGTCACCATAATGGCGATCGTTCCAAGTTCCATATAATTAGAGAATTTTTAGCTGCTATCGTTCTTAACAGAAAAGCCTTTCAAAGCTTTGACACGACTGTGATTTCTATCATACATTTTTCATTATACTGTAAGACAAATAGATCGGTAAAAAGAAAGCAATAGCTCTCGTATTGGCGAACCTGCTACCCCCTCAGCAAACGCCTGAGACATTGGTATGAGCAATTAATATGGCGGATGCTTGTTTCGTTGTATATTGAGCGTCGCTCGATAAGCTCAAGGTCTTAACTCTGTTTCAGTACGAAGTCTTTTTTGGTCCAAGAGAGAAGCCTGAATAAATAAATGAAAGGGTAAAATTACGGACATACGCTTTACACTTTTACGTTCACTACTTTGTATGCAGTGTTGACAAGGAACTTACCCACCATCGAATCACAAACGCGTCAATACGATGCGTTCTGACGATAATTGTAAGACACACTCAAGACATGCCTTTTAAACGGCAGGTAGTCAAGTGATGAGAGTACCGACGATATTGCACCGAAACTAGAAACTATCGATCAGTAAAGTCAATCGTCGTTATATTCTAGCACCTTCAAGGTCGTTTATAAAGTGTATCGCCGCTGTATCATTTACACAATTTGTCTATCAGCGTTGTGGCCTTCCGAGCCTCAGATTCGCTAAGCTTGGAATAGCAACATTTCATCCGCGCCTCTTATTTTTGCCGTCTAGTATTTTGAGGGGGGCACCATCCATTCGGTCAAAAGCAGACGCTGTTTAGACATAGAAAATCGGCCTATATGTATATATAGTAAATTGTCACAGACTGCTAGGGCCCTAAAGGCCCTTACGATGCCAACCGAAGCCTAATGAAAAGACCACTACGATACTATGATAGCGTGCAATGCTTTTATCAATAATTAATCTCGTATAAATGCGCACAAGAAATCCAATCGTTAGCATCACGTGAATTGTATGCACGATTTTATTTGTTCTGAATGGTACATTGCAGTAATTTCCGAAAGGACTACAGTAAAACCGTAAATGCAGTATGTACAAGCTCTTCGTATAGTAATACGACGGTGAGGGTTCTAAAAGCAAGCGTCTTTGCTATTATGAGGCATAGGATAACATGAATGGATCTAGCCGGTGGCCTGAAAAGGACCGACTGGAAGTTTGTGCTGCCTAAAGGCTGGCTGAGTTTGCCTTATGCCTTCAGCAAAAGACCACGTAGCGCTTCGAAACCAACGCTGTTCTTCTTAGATCTAATTGCTGTAATTGAATATATTGACAATGAGAGCGGTAAGCCTTTTACAAATACAAAGCTGCTTTGAGGGAAATCGTCTTCACATAAATGCTATATGCTAAACATGCCTCATTAATTCACACAAAATGCAGAGGATTTTATGGTCGAATTGATAAATTATTTAATGTAAGCGAATTTATGGAATCATAAAAATCGGACGACCGACTAACTTAAATTAATTGATAAATTGACGGAGAGAAGCAGCGCGAACGTGATGCCTATTAGAGCAACATATAAACTTGATAAAGCGTCACACAACGCCAGTGTGTCATAGTGCACAAAGATCAATTTTAATCAAAACACACAAAAGCAACAGAAAAAGGCCGGAGGATATAATAGTCTTTTTATCAAATCGACAACCATCAGGTTATGCGTAAAATACATTTGCGAAACCTGCCACGCATCAATACATTCACAAAAAAGAAAACCTTTAAATTACAACGAAAATCGTTTTAGGCTCTCAAGCAGGCACAACAAGTGACCGGAGTAGGAAGTTGTTGATTTAGAAGAAACACAAAAGTGGGAAGCGCAAACAGGAAAGGTTGACTGCATTTGTGAAATTTCAGCCTTCAAACTGCTATATTCCGTGACAAACAAAAAATGCAATACATGGTATTTCGCATAGGCCGCTTCTCATTCAACGATAAGACAACATTAGATAAACAGGGCATCGAACAGATAGATGTAAACCTTTGCCAATACAGTGACAATTATAAGCTAAGTTCGGCGTACTAATTTCGAGTTTCGTTATTTTACATTACATACTGTTTTTTTACCATATTCTAGCTAGCTATAGTTCAGTCCCGGACGGTTGGTAAATGACAAAAAGAGATCCAACAGCATTGCAAGCGATGACTTATAAAACGTGGTTTTTAATACCATTTTTCATTGCGTTTATAGTTTACACGCCAAGGCCTCCATAGAGATTCGACGTTTCGCATCATACACCGTCCTTGCAGTACATTGGTTGTTGTAACAAATTTCTATAACTGATGGTTGTCTTACGTGTCCCGTATTGGACGTACTGAAATCAATATTCGAGGACTGTATGATTTGCAACGACTAATTTAGTTTTTTTTTTTTAAGGTACAGGTGCATTTTTATGGGCGTTAGTCACGAACGCGACTGTACCTAATTGTTAATTTTCTACCACGGTACACATAATAGCAGAATAAATGGAATTGTAAAAGGCAATAGCTATAATATATATTCCAGCCTATAGACTTGGACTAAATACATTTTGTAGCATCTATTGTGGCAACTAACCCGTAAATTTTTATCTTCACACCACAATGCTCCATACGTGTATTGGAAAATTTCGTTTAGTTTCGAAATACAGATCTGGTGTCGATTAGGTCCAACCGTGGTTTGATCATAAAGCTCAAATCAGAGAAGTCTTCCCGTAGGTGTGGATATTATTCACTTGTTGACACGTAAGCTTCATTTAGCTGCCGAACAATTAACACGCTGTTAGAGAATAGGGGAAGCTCTAAGTCGACGTGGACAGTTGTGTTTAACACAACCGTATTACAAGCTGCACAAATGCTATTCTACTGAATCGGTATTCTTCTCGAGCAAAAACCTGTAATGTAGAATAGAGATGAACGCCAGTAAAATACGACTCCTGCGTCCTTCGTTTCCAGTGGTGGGAAAACATAACAGGCTACGTGGCACACTATAATACATATCGCCGCTTGTTTCATACAAGGAGTCAGGAATCAGTGCACGGCATCAGCTTGGTTCAGTTCAGAACAATGATGAACAGATAGATACATTGATTGCAAAAGAACTAGGACACATACGCGTCGTGGACAGGAGTCTTCGATTCTTTTTAAACTGTTCGATTAACATAACCCAGAATGTTATTAGTAAAACCAGCGTAAAGCCGATCTCGGTAATTAGTATATTCTTTTCAGTAGCAACAAAGTAAGTGGTATCCTATTAGGTTTTATCGATATAGTTAGTGATCGCTGCATGTTTCAAATTGGATTGTCCCTAACCGTCGATTTCTCTGATTGAGCCCATTGGATCTTCAAAGGTTGGAAGACATACGAACTATTGCGATGCAACGAAGAAATGCCAGCCTTGCTTTACGCCGGATTGTCTCACCTGATCACTTTAATGAGCTCGTAGGAGTAGAGATTGCTGTTGTGGTACGATTTAACGCCATCAAGCTTTCCTTGCTCAGGTATATGCGTTGTGCCCAAAAAAGAGCTAAACGTTTGTGAATTATTGCAACTATTTCTCTTTTGTGACGAAACCGAAGCCTATACCAATCAGCCCAACGTTGCGTTACGTTTCTACCCGAGCAATCAAACACATCCCAGTAATGGCAAAATGCTACGTGATTACTACTAAAGCCAGCCGCACTACAAAATATAATAGTTATAGAGAACCGAAATACTTTGAATTCATAGTTTATACGAGGTTAAGCTGAGCGAAAAAAAAGTAAGTGATGCTTGTCTCTTCTGATGATCGGACGAAGCATTCACTAATGTAACTTTTTAAAGATATTCCTAACAAAATAGTTATGATGTATTTTCCATAGCAGCAGAAAAGAATAAATAATCCTCACTATTGAAAAAGATTAAAAATTCTTGAAAGCTGCACGAAGTTGGATTTGATGACGGTATGAACTTCATCAGTTAGGGATGTGCCCCCAATATTTGAATATGTAATCATTGAAGTTCCTGCTGTGTTGTCTTGTTTTTCAGTTGATCGTTTACTCCGCGGACTCACATTGTTGAACCTACTTGGACCCCAGTACTCATTGGAACTCATCGAATCTCATAACTTGATCGAATTATTGTCTTGCTGCTGCAGTACAATGAATAGTGAAAAGCTACTAAGCTCCTCAGTTCATCTATCCGTGTACCTAACTTGATAGAGAAATTGAAAAGAGATCTGCTTAATGACTGACTGAAAGGCATTATTAGGAAAACGATCGGAACAAAGTGATCAGATCAATACACCGAAGTATGCCATAACGAAAGCCAAATGGAATAGCTGTCATTTCGAAGTTCTGCTCGATATTTATTCGCAGTCTCACGTCTTATGTTCGTCGCCTTGAGATTTCATTCACCTCGTCAACATCAATCGGCCTAAATCTGTCATTGTGGCTGTCGTCGCAAGGGCGAGTTTCCATTACGATCCGGTATCCATGGTTAGCGTGCATCGACGGGCCCGCACGGCCCCATGGGCTGCTGACCCCGGCCCAGCGACAAAAGACACCCAGTCATCTTTTCGGTACTATACCACTTCCATAGACGAAACGGTTTCAGCGATACCGATATTCTTATTGACATCAGGTTATTGCTTCAGCTCACCGCTTCTGTTCCCACAAGGGTTTGCTGGCCTCTCGTCAAATTTAGCAGCTAACAAACATTCTAGTCGCTGGTACAAAAGAGCAGCTTGCAGCAGCCTGCAGCTTATCCACAGTTTTGCCGATAAAGATTTTTATTACTTTGCCCGTCCTAATAGCAGTAGCAGCGGTGTCAGCGAAAACGCTAACATACAGCACAAGCTTAATGAGATCTTCGTAGAAGAATCTATAGAAGAGCATCCACTGGATCCCGTATCGCTATTGTCAAGTAAGGACTACATCGACCATTCCACATTCCGAATGTTTGAAGCCTTGCTCTTCGCCAAAGATGGCGAAATGCTCAACGGCGAACGAACTGCCGTTTCAGAAATGGTATGTACAGAGCATAATTTGTTACAAAACAAGATTACTGGTTATCCGAGAACTTTGATGCCCTTGAACTCACTGCTTTCAATCTGATTTCTTCTCAATTTTATTAATTTATCCACTAACCTGCTCGTTATATATATATATATATATATATTAATAGCAAAAGTAAGTATATTTCAGGCAGCCCATATTGGCTAGTCTTAATGCTTTAATGGTGGTTAAAGCATGCAGATTACCAGGTTTTTACTAAGATTACTAACATTGCCCATCGTCGCTTGGCCGATGGTACCGACAGTGCACTCACTATACGGGGCTTTGTCGGCATAGTGGTGTGTCAACCAATAACTCGAATTTAGAATAGCAGAAAGTCGAAACATATTTACTATATAGCTATATAATAAAGACGACTAGTCTAACCGAAAACGGAATCGACTAAAGCTTCCTTTACGTAAATGTCTCTTTGGTTCGCGATAAGCTGATAAAAGAAATTTGCTGTAAATGTCTCGAACGGGCTGTCCCTGTCTAAGTGAAAATTGCCATTTCGTCTGTTCAACTTTGAAGCTACTTTCACCCTGTCGGCTGCGACGTTAACGTTGTGTGACAAAGCGATAGAACTTCCCATATGAACTTCTCGTACATATATACATCTGAGAAGAGTAAAATAGCTGACGCGACGAAGGACACGAGAAAAATCGCGACTATCGATGCCTGAACCCTTCTTCCTTTTTTCTCTATATCAAGATATACATGTTGATCTATGAAGCCCACACTGAACTTCGATTTTATACGATTCATCGATATCAACAACAGCGGTCGTTTAATAGCGCATTAACTAATTGTTCTTTACTTCCGTATTTCTTAAGAAAATAATACGAATACCAGAAAAATTGGGCGACTGCGTGCTGCTTACAATAGATCTGTAATGGAGGGTCGCTTATAGCCTAATTAGTTGAACTGGTTGGAGTACAGGTGCTAAGGTAGGCTTTGCATAACCATGGTAAAAGTATATACGCTTGAAAAAAACTAAGAGCATATTGACTGCACAACGAGAACGGTGGAAAGCGTCTAGTCCTCGTCGTACCGTTTACCAATTCTAATTAATAAGGATGTGAAGACATCAGACCCTACTGAGCTTCTGAGGCGCAGATAGAGAAACTGTTTTAAACGCACCTTGTTACTGTTCACTTATCTACTGTTGAAACGTATATAATAGGCTAGGGCTGCAGTTGCTTATCTAATAAATATGCCAAGAATATGGTAAAAAAATAAGGGTGGATTTACTCTAGCCATTTCAAAACTTTGTTCTGCACATGGATACGCTTATTTTTTTTAATTTATTTCCAAAAATATTCTTCCTCTACAGCGGTGTGCGCTCAAACTAGGAAGCCTCTCTTCCCGTCGATTATCATACGTAGAATTTTGCTTCTTCCGTCCGTAGCCACCACTGAAACAACCATCAAAACCTCCTGTAAATACTGTATATAGGGAAGGTCGGTAATAAATATTAAGCACTGGCTTTTATTGCGGTATCCTGCCTCCTGAATATATTGCTATCAAAATTAAGCAACCCGTTACTGTTGACTTATTCCAATGCGGTCATTTTAAGCACGTGGTTCTGCGTAAGGCAATATAGGTGTCGTGCATTTACTATTGGCTCGTCATATCACCCCCATGTCTTCAAAGACCTTCGGAAAGGTCTATTGATTTTTATACAGAAAAGGTGATTCGTCCGAGGATGACGAATCCAGGTCACGCCTATATTAAATAATGTGTTGCTCGTCTACTGACAATTCTGATTTCGCTAAACAATCGCTTGGCTTTTCTTTCAGTTGCTGGAGCGCAATACATCTTGAATCGAAACACCCTAGAGTCTTGTATTATGTGCCTTAGGATATTTTTTTACTATTTTCTCGGGAAATACGTTTAACTTACTGTCGATATAGTAACGCACCCAGGCCATGTATACCGCTTCTTCGGAAGAAAATAGCTCCAGCCAAGTAGAGTTTGGCGGACAAATATGCCCACAGATCTGGTTTCCAGTCGCTGTGACGTCGAGAAGAATCAGCAAAACTGGTGAATACCAGCGTAATAACCCTAACAAGCAAATACCAAGTTTTGCTAAGTTCCTTTGTCCAGGACAAAGATCATCCGGTGAATATACGGCGTCACCCATCCCGGCCGTACCCAATACGAATATGGCGGAATAATAGGTTACGCTCCGTAAAATGTCTAGGACATGCATAGATGTAGAATTCCAATGTTCACCATCATCTTTTCAAGTTAAACTGAAACAGTGAGTGAGAGTATACTGTTTGGGAGTTTATAAAGGCTAATAGAACCGTCAGTAGATACATTTTATATATGCATGGATCGGCAATAGCTTAGCTTGGAATGGCGCTGGCAGTATCAAGAACTATTCAGTGGTATTGTCACCAAGCTGAGATAATCGTGCAACGTGGCTGTAAAATGCATTCGTATATTGGAGGCCTGCGCATAGCGTTTTGGGCTCCGGTGTGATTAATCCGGATACTTCGACATGTTGACGTATCTGCTGCGAACAATATATTTGGTATAAATAACACCCATGACTGTGAATGACCCATTTACCTTTTGTGATTCGCAAGGCGGAGACATTTATAATGTCATCTTCGCGTTACCGTTGCGCGTGTCCGCTGATTAACCTATACGCATATATATATATATAAGGTCGTGTGAACGTTTTTAACCACAAATTCACTCACATACGGTAACAACTTTTAGTAATGGTTCAATTGCTTAGTTCCTGCCAGCCTAAAGAAGCGTGCAAGCTAACTTACATATAATCTCGCATCCTGCCTTCAGCCAATTTTACGTTGTTTTGTTAGATTGTACGTAATATCTTGCATAAAGGGCCTTCCCTTGGATACTGCCATGCCTCGTATTAGATCACAAGACGTATTTGTCATAGGGTTGTGCCTAAAATTAACATTGATATACCGTAAGTACGACGCAAACATAACTATTATTTTTGCTTTCTTTTTTTGCTACGATTCTTTTACTAGATAAAAACAAAAAATTCAAATAATATGATACGTTAGAGCGCATAAAGGTAAATTTGTTCTAGTTTCCGGAAAGCAAAGTGTATATATTTTTCTGCAAAAGGGTCGTAAACAGCAGGTGCTTCTCTTGGACTTGATAGCTTTACGATGAGTGCGATTGGGTATCACTGGCCGCGTAAGCGTATTGTTACAAACCAATAAAGCGTTGACCTATTTACACTGGCAGGTAATTGCAAAGAGGGAAATGGGGCAAAAAAGGATGGATTTAGATCAACGAATTTTACCACGGAATCAATATATCTATCATGTACTATTTATTGTCGAAGGACATTAAACGTCTGTTAAAGCAGCAAAAGATACTTGAACTATTGCATTAAATGCAATAACGTGTCATAGCGAGTAGTATGTGCATACGGCGTTCTTAACTATGCCACATGAATAAACGGTTAGTTGAATTTAGTATCTCTTTTCCGTTTCAAAGTCTGTCAATATATTGAGATTTATACGCGACGGCTATTAGATACAGGCACCTTTTGATAATTTGGGTTTTGAGCGCTACGTCGAAAATTACCCATCGTAATCTTATCTAACCTTCATTTTCTATGGGATAGGACGCAGTCCTTAAGAATAATGGCCATGTTTTGGATCTACGGCTCAATAGGCCCTTTCCAGTCAATCCGGTGATAAGACACTTTACCTAAGACCGTAAAACATGTATACCAATATCATAATCTCTAAGCATTCAGTAGAGTATTGTTTGCATCTGTGATTTAGCGATATTCCGTAACCACGTGTTCTTCCTAAACCTCAGTGTAGTTGGCGCTTAGTTTAGTGGAACACAACATCTAAAACGTCTCCTATGAAGGTGTTTGTAGTGAAGGAGCCAGAGAAGAAAGCAATCGTGATGGATCTTACTGTTCACGATTTGATATCGTGAGACTCCTCTATCTCAATAAAACGATCATGGAGACCTTTGCGTGAGAACTTGAGTAGTCTGAAATAACCGAAAGCCTGGCCTTCAAGCTAATTTCGTTTACCCAACTTATATTGGATCACCGGCCCGATGTTACTTTTTGCCAGACAAGGTATTCCTCTATAGGCCGTTTGCACTCCTAGCGTCTGGGCTGCCAAGACTTACGTCTACCCTTTTACGTGATAATAGATTAATGTTTGATTAAAGACATATTATATAAATTACAATAACATTGAAGGACCTCAACCTTTATATATCGACATGCTACTGCGTTTACTTAACTGGCTAGAGGTTCTGCGTTCTCACAGAGCCTATGGACGGACCCCCAGTGACAGCCAGTGCGATGTCTGGGCCCGATCATAGATCGCTTGGCATTTTCTAGGTCTTTTCATTTTTGAGTCATATATGGAAGTTCGCTTATCGGAACTTCATCACGACTAGAAACACGTTAAAGAAATACAAATTTTGTTTAAAGTTGACATTTCATTGAAGATCCGCTTCACGTGTTGGAAATATGGTAAGTTGAACGATGAGAACAGAATGCGATTCGTGTAAATAACATTGCTAAAGTAATCTGGTCGTAAAATAGGCGCTAAGAAACGTGTGCTAGCAGAGCCTTGTAATCCAGAAGAAGGTATTGCGCCATAGATGGGTTTTACCTTCTGTCCGAAAAGACTACGAGCGAGTAGACTATGAAAGCGGTATGCAGAAGATCAGTTTTATCAAAGAAGATTTTCAATATCGATTAAAATTAAAACTCAAAATATCCTAATCCTTGCTGACGTACAGTTTAGTACATTTTGTTGAGGTGTTGCACCGATCTTTTCGTATCATCGTGTTAGTTTATTAGGATCACACGCGGTTAGCTTAGTCTGTAACAAAGGCCGGAAACGTAACTATCCTGGCCATAAGCAAACACATAGATTAGATCAGCCTATTAAGCGTAGCCTTCCTTGTCGAGTTCTGGCGACTACTAGGGCACGTTGTGAGCT